TGCATTCGAAGACACAAAGTGTCGAGTCTCTGACTCATATTCCAAACCTATACTGCTTTCTCCGCAATAATTTCATTTATTAACTTGGACCTCATACTGATTGTACAGATGCGACTGCAACAAATCAGAGAATAAAAGAGTTGGAAGAAAAACTAGCGGAGTTTCTGACATCTAAGGAAGGTAAGCATTATGAATAACTCTACTATTTTCTCGTTTCATTATATTGTGATATCATGAATGTTTGGTATATCGCTTACGTTGATTAATTTACAATTGTCCCCTTAGCTCCCTTATACTTTCAGTACTATACTGATTCACAAGTTCATTGTGTTAGTTCCGGCGCCTGGGAGGATTTTGGTCAACTATATGACTGTTTGAAAAATCGGATCGATCTCGAGGGTCCATTGAAAAATTACGAGTTTATTATTGGTGATGAAAAAATGGATTTTGTTTGGACAAAAATGCAAATCATCGACTTCCTTAAACAACAGAAGTGTTCGGGTGATAATCCAGTTAGGATATCTAAAGTAAAAAAAGGTATGTTATTCAGTCACTAGCCGATCACAAATAATCTGAATTAATGCAATCTTATCTTGTTACTACTTAGGAAAAGCGGATGAACCATCAAGTAAGCTGATTACGAATAATATTATTCTATTGGTGTTTTTTGAGCGAAGCCTAATTATTTCTTGTACATTCTATATTAGAGTCGTTATATCGTCCTAGAAATGAGGAAGATGAGGAAATCGTCCAGAAAGCTTTTAATAGAACTTTTCAAGATCCAAGTAACCTTTCGGAAAGGTTTATACAATTTATTGACAAGTGTCTGGATAAATACGAAACAACGAGTAACGAATATTATGCGCCATATACAACTTTAATTCAAGCCAGTGGCACAGGGAAATCCAAATTATTGATAAGTGTTGCCGAAGAGATAATGACCGTATACTGCTGTTTGCGGGAATTCGGATCAAGTGGCTATCCACCCAGATCGAATATTGCCGGAACACTAATAAAAGAGTTTGATAGTGAACAAGAAGCCAAAGCTTCCTATCTTGCGTACATATGCGCATGTTTTCAAAAGATGCAGGATTTCGATGGAGATTGTAAGAAATGGTTGGATGGGCATACCAATAAAAATTTGCAAGAGAATTTTTGGAGAGATGTTGAAAACAGAATGAAATCTATCAAGGACGATTTAATGAAATGTTCTACGGATAGTGATACAACTGAATCGGTTAAGAAATATTTGGTTAAAAAAGAAAGAACAGAACCAGAAAGAAAAGAACGAGAAGGTTCAGTTAAATACCTGTTTGCATTCGATGAAGCTCGTATGCTGATTGGTAAGAAGGGTGGAAGTAAGAACGTTGAAAAAAATTCACCGTTCTATTATATTCGACGTGCTTTAATTCTCTTACCCGAAGGATCAGGAATTTTTGCGGTCTTTACGGACACACATTCAAATATTTCGAACTTTTCGCCTACTTCTTACCTCGATCCATCTAAAAGAGTTGCAGAGGAAGGGTATCTGTTATTTGCGCCATTTTATTTGTTAGACACTATGGACATGAATGTTAAATTTAAGGA